CATCCCGATGTACTCTATTAGAATCAATAAAAATGCTTGGAAAATAATAAATAAATGGTTAGTAAAATGCAGGACAATGTCTAACTTATCCTCAGTACTAGCTTTTATTTGAGTGCCTCTCATCTTTAACCAGCATTTTGTCAAAAATTTCTTAGGAGAAGTCACATATTGGTATTAGAAAATTTGTCTGAAGATTGAGGTTTTTTTGTTTTGCTTTGTTTTTCTTGTTTATCCTAGGTTTATAGCTGCTACCCAGATACTACTCTGCCTTTTGTAATTGCTATTCTTTTTGTTTGTTTTGTTTGTTGGTTTGTTTTTGAGAGTGTTTTTTGCTATAGGGTGTATGTGCTTGCTGGAGAGAGAGATGGAGAAATAGAAAGCAAGATCACCCCCACCCTGAGGGGGGGGAATGGCCATATTCAAATCCTTTCTCCTCCATTTTCCTCTCAGGCTCTTTAGCATGTCTGCACATGTACCTGGCATGAGTTTTAAGCCACCAGGTCTGGATCTCGAACCACAATCAGCTATGTGAGAGTCTAGCAACATAACCATTATGCCATCTGCTAGTCCCTGTAATTTCTTTTAAGAATTCCAGATATTCTGGCTAACATTTTTTCCACATATTAAGCAAGTCCTTGGTATTAGAATAATAATAATAATAACAAATATTTACTGAGCATACCTGTATACTAGGCTCTTTACGGGTTCAAACTTTACATGGATTAATGTGTCTATTCTTCATGACAGCCCTATAGCTTTATCCCCATCTAACATATGAAGCACTTATTAAGGTACATGAAGGGTGAAATGCCTTGCCAAGTTTGTGAGGCTGGCTCCAGAGGCAAATTTCATACCCTGCAACTAGACAACCACCGTCTAATTGACTACTCTTGGTTTTCCTGGGTCCACGTGAGAGCTCCATCTTTATTTATTTATTTATTTATTTTTTCTTCTTTTGGAGAGGTTTTTGCTATAGGGCTCGTGTGCTCGCCAGAAAGACAGAGAGAGACAGAGAGACAGAAAGCGAGAAATCACCCCCCCCCAGGGGGGGATGGCCATGCCGCTCCATCTTTATTTTAGGATTTAACTCTAACCAGAATTTTTGAGGCATTGTCTCACCAATGATGGTTGGTATGAGATTTATTAGTGAAATTCATTCAAAAGTGTGATTCTTTCCAACAATCAAATTAACTGGAGACACAAATGTTTCTCTAGTAGTGATTCTTGCAGATTCACCTCCATGTGATTTAGCTGTGAGCTGCTCTCTTTCAGTATTAATGGCGTCGCACATACGAAGGGGAAAGTAACTCACGTTTTTAAATCCCCCTTGATACCAACAATAGCTGTGAATAAAGACTTGTAACATTGGGACCTTATTGAGTCCTTCCATCCCTTTGTTTCTTCATGTTCAATTAACTGCTGAATATTTTTAGTCCATCTCTTTATTATGTGTAAGAGAGATTTTGCTAGCTTGTAGGAGCTAGGGAGAAAAAAAATTGGCTGGAATTATTTTATTGGAACTGTTCGTTAAATCTGTAAACAAGGCCAGCTGTGGAAATGAAAGCCTTTTTCCTAAAGGACAAATCTCTCTGGGTTTACTTACCTGAGTACATTTGCCAGGAACCTCCCAATTTGGTGGTGGACTCTTTCAAGAAAGCCTAGGCTCAGAGCGAAGACGTGTGGCATAGTGACTGCTGGGAATTGACAAGTCATTTTGTCCCAAGGCTTAACTCTGAGTCCTGTGGTACTTTTTTATCCAAAAGAGTGTTCTTTTGGCTGAGTTCATCAACTTTAAATAGTTTGTCTTCTCAGTGTACTCTTTTAATCGGTATTTGCTTATTGCCTTTAAACTTCTTTAATCTTTTTTGTTTTATTTTTATCTTTTTTACTATATCTTATCTAGTTTGAATTTTTAGTTTGTTATTTTATCTTGTTTATTTTCTACCATGTTATCGCTTTTTATCTAAATTGTATGTGTTGGCTTTATATGTGTGTTTTCAATCTTGTTTATACTTTATTTTACCCTTATTGGAAAGAGAAAGTGAAGGCATGAAGTGACCAGCTGGAATACAGTCCCTAATCCAACCATGAGTGAGGGGATGCCTTTGTTCTTCCATATATCTCTTAAAGTCATTTTTAAAGTTTTCTGCTATTCATTATCTTTATTTGATTCAAATTATAATTTTAATTAAAGTATATCAAAATAACTATGTATTTTCACCCATCTTCATTTTCTCTTATTTTTACCCAATTTCTCCAGGGTGATATGAGTGCTAGTAGCTTCGAATTAGAAACATGCTATTTCCTGAGTATTGACCTATACTTTCTAAGAGTTTTCTGAGCAAAATTTACAACTTTAAGCTATTGACTAGGATTTGCATACAAATTACAGGCTATTAAGAAAAACACAGGTTAGAAAGTTCTTCAGAACAACTTTGCACCCCATGTTTAACCTTCCTCTAACATTGCAGGTGTTCCTTTCTGTCTTGCCCATATTCTCGCTCCTATTAGAAGCCTTTACTAGAATTCTTGGACCATGCTAGTAACTCAATAATTAGACAACAGATATCTCTAATTGGCGTTTCCTCCCCTATGTTTTTTCCTTGTAAAACTTTTGCATCTCACTTTTCTTGAAATGTGTGGCTCTTCTCAAGTGCCTCCATGGGTTCCCCATGGCTCGTGGAAAAGTATATAAACTCTTAAATTTGCCACCATTTTCCAAAAATATCTAATTTCTTCCTCACATTAGACAAAATAACCAAACTGAATGGTTTGCTATTCTTCATTTATAGCCCACATATTTTCACAGTTTTTTCCTTATCTATACTGTTTATTTTACCATTTGTAAATGTCCCCATTATACCCTTTTTGAAACCCTAGATGAGACTAGCCAACATTTTTATGACCTTCCTTGGAGAAGTACTGCTTTATGGAATTAAAATTAATGTGGGCTGAGAGAAACAGAATGAGATAGATAGCCAACTCCAACATGGTCTTCGCACCCTGATCCATCCCCAGCCTCAGCCAGCCCTGGGTCATGAGCATACCAGCATGTCCAGGGAGGTCTCCAGATATAAACTCAGAACATTCCCATGTGGGTTAGCCTCACAGAGCATTGTGGTACCTCTGAGCCACCTTCTGGCCTCCACGACCATGTGTTTGTATTCAGAGTCATTTCAAACTGTACAAATATATTGACACCCAGTATAGTAAATGTCTAAAATAAATTTTTAAAAATTAAAATTTAAAGAATAAAAATGTTCAACTGAAAAAAGCCTTGGAAGTGAATTTGGTTAAGTAGGCAGTTTCAACATGTTCAGGTAAATGGAAGGGACAGAGGACTTCTTTTTTTTTATTTTTATTTATTTTATTTTATTTTTTTTAGACAGGATCTCTCTGTTATGATCCTCCAGCTGAGACTACAGGACTATGCCATCACAACTGGCTCTTTATTTTTTGATAGGGTCTTGCTATATTGCTCAAGACAGAATCAAATTTGTAATCCTTCTGCCTACACCACCGTACCTGGACTTTAGGTTGACCTGGAATTGAACTTGGGCTTCCATGTGGGGCCAGCCTGTGGACCGCAGCATTTCAGCAGCATGTGCCATTGTGGTTAGGACAAGGGCCTCCTTTTTTTTTTTTTCCTTAGAGAGAGGTTTTTGGCCATAGGGCATGTGCACTCACCTAAGGGACAAAGAGAGATAGAGACATAAAGTGAGAAGTCACCCCCGGCCCAGGAGGGAATGACTGAGCACACTATAGTCCCTTCTCCTCCATTTTCCTCTCGGGATCTCAGGCACTCATGGTATGTGCCACACTTGAGTTTCAAGCCACCAGGTCTGCAACTCAAACCACAGTTGACTACGTGGGAGTCCAGCGATGTAGCCATTACACCATCTGCTGGTCCCAACAAGGACTTTCTTAAGGACAATGTAAAGAGGGTGCAGAAAACAATAGGCTTATGAAATAAACACCTCTATATGCCTAAGGAAAGTAAGGATAGATTTCACCTGGTTATTCCAGTCCCCATTACCTGGTAGGGGTTATGTCATCAAAGGAGTTCAGGCAAGGAGACACAGATTTACATAAACACAGTCCTCCCTGGGGCCTCACAATCTGCCTAAAGCTATAAATGCAGAGTGAAGTTGGAAACACAGCCAAAAAGAAAGAGTAGTATTCATATGAAGACCAGTCAGCAGAGAAAGCTGATTTTAACATAAAACACACACCCCTCTCTGCCATTTCTGCTAATGTCACTTTGGATTGAATAAAACAGATTGGAAGATACAATACTATTATGAAAAGTTTTTTGTTTTTCATGGAATGTACTAAGGAGTGTAAAGATTTCCCTCTTGGCCTCTTTCTTCATAGGAATTGAGGAGTCAATAGACTTTCAGCTTCCTTAACAAAGGGAAGTCAGAGGGACTTCCTATGACTTGAGTGAAGAAGAGAGAAATGGACACAATGAAAGAACATCAGAGGCTGTGACCGTGTGGGGAAAGTCATCATTACATTTGAAACATTCATTTAATATCACCAATTTTAGCGTATATACTTTCAGTTCCTCAGACTAATTATAAGCATGCTGTGGTCCAGCCTGTGCTGTGGTGACTGGGGCGATTGGATTCTATGTGGCTGATGGCACGGTTCAAGTCCTGGGTCTTACAGCTTGAGAAACATGCTGGCATGTGTGGATGTGCCCAAAATCCCAAAAGGAAGGGGAAATGGAGAAGGGATTGTGGCATGACGGTTCCCTGTGAGGGTTACTTTCTTGGTTTCCCTTTCTCTCTTTCTCTCTCCAGTGATTATACGTGCCCACTGTCAAAAATCAGAAGAAGAAAGTTCCACATATGTATGATAGTTGTTATTAGTTTTAAATTCATACTAGTATATTACTGAGTACCTATTGTGTGTTAGTTTATTATTAAATATTTAAATCTACAAGGTAAACATCTCGACTTCAGCCACATAGAAACTATCTCAGGGTACTTACGTGATTTAATCAATCCAGCTCTAAGCGTCAGAGTCCTAAGGCAGAGTCACTATTTGAGATCTTTCTGATTAAAAAAAAAAAAAAAAAGCCACTTTGCATAACACCAAATCATCCAGGAAAGTTTAAGTAGTATAAACTTTACCATGTATACTAAGCCATTTTGTGATTCTTCCTCTGTGATCTTTTATGCTTGATTATTATCGTGTGGATCAGAATAGTAGTCATTTGTAAATCGTCACACTTTGATCTGTTAACTGAAACTATTCTCACTGTAATTCATGTTTTTCTTATGAGTCTAGTTCATGCAGATAATGCCATTGCCTGACTGCCCTATTACTGGTCCTGAAGATGGCAACATCAGAGGCTCAGGTATCCGTTTCAGTATGGCTTCTGAAACTTTAGATAACAGTAAGTACCCCCCAAAAGGCAAAACAATAATAAAGGACACAGTGATGTAGCAGTAGGCCTTGGTGATAAGAGGTACTGAACCTTAGCGACTGAGACTGAAGGCCAGGGAGTCAGGCTATGCATTATGCTAGCTCTGCAGTCTCTGGCTGGCAATGAAGAAAACACCCATAAATATGCAGCCAGACAGGTGGTGAAAGGGCCAGAAAGAGAAGGACCAGCATCAGGGAAAGAAAGCTGAGTGAAGAACAAGGACTCTAGGGAAGAAACCGACGAGTCTGATAGGACGCCCAAGAGGATAACATTGTTACGTGTGCGAACTGTCACAGACTATCACACACATCTCCTTTGGCAACCCAAACTATACGTGCACCTCTTTATGAACTCTATACTCTCCTGGCTTGATTTTCCTTATTTTAGTCAAATTATTCTGTGAGCAAGAACACACCCTTTGCATACATACTGATGACATGACTATATGACATATATTCAAAGGCCGAATAATTCATCCTCTTCAGGATTGCTATCATTAATTTTAATGTTTGTCTCTGATAGTACAAACATCCTTTATCTTCATTATACTGAAAGGCAGTTCTCCCAATCTCTCTCAAAAACACGTATCCATTTATGTTTTCAATTTACTTTGTGAGATTTTTCAAAAAGGCAGGTCAAGACCTAATTTCTAAAGCAATCTTAACAGTGCTTTATTGTTCACTGGTGACTTACATGATTAAGGAATCCATCAGGATTTTTTTGTCGTTGTTCTTTCTAGAGCATCTCTTTTGCCAATATCTGATTCTCTGTTGTTTGCAGTTCAGCATCTTGAATACAATTTCATGACAAGAATGGGTGTTATACTTTAGAAAAATGGCAGCTCCATTTCAACAGCCACATAACTTTTTAGAATTCGTGCTTTCTTATTGCAAACTTCAATCATCTAAATATAAAAAAGCATTCAAACACTTGGAATACACTGTCTACCTGAGATGTAATAAGGTAGCATTGTTTCCTTTCAGCCATAGCAATGTTATCCAAACATTCATTACTTAAAAAAAAAAAAGAAGAAATCCAAATAATTTATCAAAACATAAATGAGGTTGAAAAGTTGGTATTGAAGTTATTTGATTCCTGAATAAGCCATTTTGGTAGGAGCATTATGGAAGTCACTAAGATGTGAGGAAAAAAGACAAAGAGCATGATATGACCATAGATCTCTTTACTTTTAGAATGCCAGTAAAGAGCAATTCAGTTCAAGGCATGTGAAGTAAAATTCTTTTTAAATCTTCAATTTTACTGGTTTCTCACATGCCTTGCAGCAGGCTTAGGAAGGAAGATAGACACTTAAAGGGGCAGTAAATGGGTGAGGAATTAGACTTCTCATTAAATTAAATGACATTCATTTAGTATTAATGCTAATGGCATTAGGACACGTGGAAGCAGGATGACTATACCATTCTTGTTAGAGCTCCTGCATTAAAGTAACACTGATGCGAGAAACATGAGAGTATTTTCACAGTGGGACAGACAATTGCTATGATGTCTGGAACTGAAACGAACTGATTATAAGACCTATCTACAAATGAATATTTTCTTCAATTTCATATTTTGTCTCATACCATGTAATAAGTCAAACACTGAGTGATATCTAAGACTTAAAATATGTTAAATTTGTTGTATGAAGAAAAGGTTGCAGAACTATAAATTATCAGCGGCTGGAGTTGGCCATCATGAAAATGATATATTGTCTTAAAATAATTCTAGTACATGCCCACGGGAAAGAAACATAGACCGTATACATAGGGGAACAAGAAGAGGTGTTAAATATATCCACCATCAAATATAATTTTTAGCATGCCTTTTAGAACACATTGTTCTAAGTGAAATAGATGAGTTGAAACAATCTCAAATGACTAAGATATTTTATTAATAAGAAATGAATTGAGTAGATATATTAATATAAATTCTATCATACATAGTGAAATATTCATTTGAAAAATAGCTATTATTTGCTTTTAATTGATTTATTCATGCATTAATTTATTTTTAAATTCTTTTAGTAAATATTTCAGGTATATATTATTATAATTTTGAAAAATATAATTCAATGCTAAAAAGAACAGGAAAATATACAGTAGGGAGAAGGCAGTTTCTAAAATTAATTTTAAAAAGTGACATTTTCTAAGTGATTAAAGGAAAAGAGATGGAGATCTGATATATAATTTCTATTCTTAAGAAGGAAAAATGTCCTGTTAGTTTTTAAGGAGAAATATTTTTTACCTAGGACTGGTCTGAATTATATTTCTCAAGTGCATCTTCTCAAGTGGTCATTAAGTAATGTGTTGGCAAAGATCATTAACTATAGAAACATGGCAAATGCCCCAATTTATGCAATAGCTAGTGATTTGATTTTATGTATTTCATCATAGTCCTGGTCCTGAGGCTGCTCTTCCCCAGCACCATTTGTCCCTTGTCCTATGTGTCCCATCTTCAGGATATCAAGTACTTTCCCACACATTTATCTCTCCTTCTCTTGCTGTCCTTCTCTAACTCTTTCTAAAAAGTCTGTTCTTTATTCTAGGGTTGTATTGTAACTTTTGAAATGCATGTTTATGAAAAAATGAAAGTTGTTCGATCTTTCTCTGGCTATAAAATGGTGCTTGTTGGGGCCAGCAGGTGGTATGCAGATTAAGGTGCTGGATCCCACATGGCCAGCTATGTGGTTTGAGTTCTAGACCCAGCAGCTTAAAATTCATGCTGGGTGCCAATGCGAGCATGTCAAAAATCCTGAGAGGAGATTGGCAGAGGAGGAGTTGCAGTGTGGCCATCCCCCCTGGGAGGCCTTCCCTTTGTCTTTCTCCCTCTCTTTCTCTGGTGAGTGCACATGTCCTATAACAAAGACAAAACAAAACAAGCAAAAAAGTGCTTGTCTTAGTTCATTTTCTGTTGCTGTAACAGAATACCATCAGAATGAATCATTTATAAACAAAAGAGATTATTTGGCTTATGGTTCTGGAGGATTGGGAATCCCTAGAGCATGGCACCACTATCTGGTGAAGGTGATCTCATATTCAGAAAGGGAAAGGCAGAAGTGAACATACAGATAGAGAAGGCAAAAGAAAGCTAACCTTGTTTTTATAATAAATTCTGTCTCTTAATAATGAACGAATTTCCAGGATAATTAACCTACACCCACAGTAACGCCATTAATCCATTCAAGAGGACAAAACCCTAATTACCTCTAGAAATCTGAGGAAACAAATTGAAAAAGACACCAAAAATGGAAAGACTTCCTTTGTTCATAGATTAGAAGAATCAACATTGTTAAATATTGATACTACCCAAAGTGATTAACAAATTCCCAGTGACATTCTTCACAAGAATTGAAAAGAATCATAACTTTTTTTTTGAAATCACAAAGGACCAAAAAAAAAAGTCAAAGGATTTCTGTCTAAACAGAATAAAGTTGTAGGCATCATACTACCTCTGCTCAAAATATATTACAAAGACATATAACCTAAACTGCATGGTACTGGCACAAAAACAGGTACATGGACAAATGGAACAGAATAGATAACCCAGAAGTAAATCCAAGAATGTTAAGACAAGAGATTGTTGACAAAGTTTCCAAAATGTCCTTCTTGATACAAAATATATATTTTTTTCGTCCAAAGAGCCCACAAAGTCTCAGTTTGTTCCAACATCAGCTCAAAAGCACAAGTCTAAAATCTCATCTAAATCATATATGGGTGAGATTGAGATTCAAAGCCTGATTCATCACAAGGCAAATTTTTCCCCAGCTGTGAGACTCTGAAATCAAACAAGTTACCTACTTCTATGTTGAGACAGGCATAGAGCAGACATTCCCATTCCAAAGAGGAGAAATAGGTGAGGAAAGAGAGGTAACTGGTTCCAAGTAAGTTCAAAATTCAATAGGAAAAAAAAAAAGAGCATTAAATCTTTTTTTTTTTTTTTTCGGAGAGGTTTTTGTTATAGGGCATGTGCGCTCGCCAGGAAGACAGAGAGAGACGGAGAGACAGAAAGCGAGAAGTCACCCTGAGAGGGGATAGCCATGCCGCAATCCCTTCTCCTCCATTCTCCTCTTGGGATCTTGTGCATGCACGCACACATGCCTGGCATGAGTTTAAGCCACTGGGTCCAGGACTCAAACCACAGTCGACTACATGGGAGTCCAGTGACATAGCCATTATGCCAACTGCTGGTCCTGAGCATTAAATATTAAAACTCTAAAATAGTTTGGGTTGATTCCATGTTCCACAACCTGGTCAAACTGGTGCTAAGTTTGGGCTCAGAAATCTTAAGCAGTCTCACCCCATTGTTTTGCTGGGTTCAGTCCAGTATTCAGGTCTTTTGGGTTGGAGTACCATGGCTACAACTCCCCAGGCTGGAATTATATTCTATGTCCTTATGGTTCTGTGATTTGGGAGTATTCTCATTCCACAGCTTTCCTAGGCATTGCCCTAGTGGGGACTCTCTGTGGCAGTTCCAATCCAGATTTTTGATCAGCATTGCCCTAGCAGGAACTCTCTGTACTGGCTCTGTCCCTGTGGAAGGTTTTATCCTTGGTCTCCAGGATGCCTGTGACACCCTTTGAAATCTAGGTGGAGGTGGCCATGCCCCTTGTTCTGCAAGGTTTTTTTTTTTTTTTCCTCTGAAGGGTGTATCAAACAGAGATGCAGGAAATTGGAAAAAGATGAGAGGGACTGATGTCATGTTATTGTCTGAGTTTAGTGCGAGGTCACAGAGATCTTAGTGGGCTCACAAAGCCCATAGCAACACTTGCAGTACTTCTTTCCTCTTGGAGCTAGTAATGTACATGGCATTAGCTCACAGAGTGGCTTCTTTCCTCTCAGAGTTCACAACATGCAGAGCTGAACTGAGCCAAACCAAGACTGAGCCAAGTCGAGGCCATCAGCACTAATCAGGCTAAAATAAGGCCACACAGAACAGGGCTAGCTAGCAGGGCTCCAGGGCTAGCTGACCAGTTGCCGGTTTTCTTTTAAAGGGGCTGCAGACAATAGTGACTCATTGCCAAAACCAGACTGTCTCTCTCTCTCTCTCTCTCTCTCTCTCACACACACACACACACACACATTACATGCAACGATGTAAAACAGAAAAGTCAAAATTACATAACAAGCACACAGGTGCAGTGCAACTAATAACATAAGTTGTTTACCCTGTGACCTTCAAATAATAACATAGGAGGTGAGGAGCCATACTAAATCATTCTGACTCCATTTGCAATACATTCCATCCCTTCTGGGTTCCTCACCTTATAATCTACACAGCTAAATTCTTCAATGTTCCCTCAGCAAGGAGGCCAGAACCCTGTGCCCATTAATCATAACAATATAAACTATAATAAGCAACAAGAACATAGACACCTCCCACTAGGAGGGCAAATACCCAGCACCAAGCAGAACCTAGGTTAGATCACCACTCTTGTAGTGGGTCTACTGTGAGGCATGTAATTTCCTGAAACTTACCAGTAACACGGGAAAGGACCATGGTTAGAATAAAATCACCTTTAATAGCATCTGTTCCTGACTTGCTTGGTCTGGTGACTTGTACCTGTGGAGGCCATTGATGAATTATCCACAAAGAAACTCAGAAATTGTTCTGTAACCTTTGTTCCCAGGGAGCCAAAAGTCCTAGCCACTGATACAAGGAGGTCTGAAACTTCCCAGACTCCTCCCAAGTGACTGTCTGTCCTGGGATCACTGGCATCAGGGCAGGAAGCAACAACTTTCCTTGTCTCCCATAGCCTGACTTTAAAAGTACTTCTGTCGTACTGACTGACGTCTGCATGAGTACTGCGTTCCGTGCAGGATAGCCGCATAAGGGAGCACTCCTCCACTCCTTGACTTTTCACTTAACCATGAGATTTTCCTATCTTGTCCACCCACCCCTTCATTGTGAGTGACCATGTATTGATCTTCAGGTCAACTCTGGCTACAGGTTCCATAAGCTAGAGTCAAGTAGCATTATCTACCGTTGTCAAGGTATATTTTATTCCCTTGGATGCAGTCCAGCTATCTCTCTATATATTATGTTGTTAGAAAAGTCATGACATGTTTTTCTATGCAAAAATGCATCATGACTTTTCCAACAACCCAATAGAAAGAGATTCTTCTTCTTTTATCATTATCACTGATAGATCCTACAGTATAGCCCACTGGCTGCTAGGTCTACTCCTGGTATCCTACCAGAGTGCCTCTGAGGACGGCTATACAAGCCATTTATGAAATAGGGCCTTTCTCCTTTCTATGTGGGGAAGGCTCAGGCTGATTTTTCATTTGTAATTCAGAATCTAGTACTTCTTCATTGTATTGTACTGAGTCCAGTGCTTGATAAAGCTCTCTTTTAAGGGACTGGTAGGAAATTTCTCTCTCTGTCTCAGGTAAGTTTCTCTTACTAAAGTTGGTCTGTGCTGTATCTACAACCAATGTTGTAGTCATCTCTCGATAGGGTAAGAAGTTCTCATTAGTACCAGGTCCCCGTTACAGCCTCAGAGGCTATCAGTGAGGTGTATATTCCCTCCTGCAGCTTCTCAATTAGGAAATATCAGTGCTCAGCTCCTTTCCACAGCTGTAACTAGAATCCCACTGACTGATGCTGTTGTTCATTTTCTGGAGCCACAAGCTTCACCCAAAGACAGTATTCAAATGACTTATGTGGATCTACTACCTGTGAGGCCCAAGCTTCTTGCACAAGGCATTTAGTAGCCAGGAATAGTGGCTCACTGCCAAAACCAGACTGTCACACACACACACACACACACACACACACATACACACACATACACACACACACACACACACACACACACATGTTCCTGATCAGGATTCCATTCCAAAGGAGCACCCTTCTTTGTTTCACCATACAGAGGCTTATAAATCATAGCAAAATGGGGGATAAAGGCTCTCGAATAGCATGAGGAACTGCTTGCATTCTGTCAATTCTTACCTCTGGAATTGCCCAGGTCTTACTCAACCAGATAACACTCTAAAACTTGACTGACGAACCTAAACCTTGAACTTTATTCAGACTGACTACTCATTCACACATTTGAAGATGCTCTACTATCTGTGTAGCAGCTATTGCTAGATCTACAAGAGAATCAGAGGTTAATAACACATCTTCAATGCAATAGAATAGCCATACGCTGGCTGATTTGGTCCGTAATCACAATGTGTATCTGGCACTGCTGCATGCAAGGGGGAGCACCCTCTGTTCAGTTTACAATAGCCCACAGTCATTCTCTAAGTATCATCCAGCTTCTTCAATGGCCGGACCAGAGTCAAAAGGCCTATGGGTAAATTTCACAATTCTCACACTTTCTAGTTTATAAATGGTGCCAGTAATCTCATCATGCTCTCTAGTCAACCAGTACTGTTTTACATTTACCACCTGTTGGTGTAGTTAACCCTCTAAAGTGGTGCTTAGCATGCTGTCTAACCACATTTGTCACCATCTGCACATGCAGGTAAAATTCCTCAGTGGAAATGCAGAGTTGCACCCCTAGCAAGATATCCATCCCTAGACTTAAGGGTGGGGGTAGTTGCCCAATTTCCAAGAGCAGTAACACTACTGTCATGGTAATCACCTTGCCTCCATAGCCATCTGTGTAGGACACTTGTCCTGCACACTCCTCAGAGTTACCATGTACAGAACTACATTTAGCCGTGTGTCCACCAGAGCCATCACCCCTTGTACATCCACAGGGGATCACTGTATAGAGACCAACATGGAGCCCCTGGTTCCTGCTCATCACTGTGATGCGAGTACCTCAGTCTGACCCCAAATTAAAGCAAACAATGCTTGACCTCTCTTTCTGGAGGTGGCATGTTTCTTGATCTAGTTCTTTAACGGGAGTACCTGAGTTGCTGAAGTTGCATGCCTTTCATTCTTTATGTACTGTTGTAGTTGCTGGCAGTTCGCCTGCATCATATCAGACTGTTCTCATAGCAGCAGTCAACCATTCCATCAAAGAATGATTTCCTTGTCCCAGAGCATATCAGTGACAATTCTGCAGTCACTGTTGCAGGAAAGGCAGTGTGGCGATGAAGGCCAGCTTCTCAAACAATACAATTGACCTCCAAGTCCCACAGTCACAATAACCGAAAAGCCATAGGTTCCTTTGGCTGCTGCTGGAAGTATTTACTCAGGCCTAATAGTTCAGTCTGGGTGTGTGGCACACACGAAGAGAACTCAGTCACTCTGGGGGACTCTGTGGAACTCCCCCTCCCTGTGCCACTGGTTACTCATAGTTCACCTTCTGGTGCATGACTGGTTGAGCATGCAAAACAGGTTCATTTCTCAGTATCTGCTCTAATGATCCATCCTCTGGACGTTTTCAGCCTCAGCCATTTCAAGGTCAAATTTCAGTGTCCATATCTTCTCCCCAAGAGCTTCTTCTTTCACATTTGCAGCATTACACAGGGCATCTTCTGTTGTCTGAGTGCCTCTAGTGTAATTCATCCCACGCAAATGATTATCCATTTATCTTTTTTCCACCCTCAACTCAGCTACAGCAGTCAAAGCCTTTTCTATGCTGTTTGGTGTCTCATCTACCCCTTCATATCTACCGGGGAATACCCAAGTGGCTAACACAGTAACCACATCTTAGAAAGAGAACATCCCGGGAAACAGCAGTTAGTGTAATGGCTATGTCGCTGGACTCCCACGTAGTCGACTGCGGTTCGCGTCCCAAACCCGGTGGCTTAAAACTCACGCCAGGCGCGTGTGCGTGCGTGCCCAAAATTCCAAGAGGAGAATGGAGGAGAAGGGATTGCGGCTTGACCATCCCCCGTGGGGGGGGATTTCTCACTTTCTGTCTCTATGTCTCTTTCTGTCTGCCTGGCGAGCGCACGTGCCCTATAGCGAAAACCCTCTCAGAAAAAAAAAATAAAAAAAAGAAAGAAAGAAAGAAAGAAAGAAAGAGACCATCCCAGCACCTCAAGGGTTGCAGGATTATCTCCTACCTCTTCCTATCCTTCTCACAGCATCAAATGTTTTGTGAGGTTCTTTCCTTCTTTGAAGGGTAGGTCAAACTGAAATGCAGGAAATTGGAAAAAAGATGCAAGGCACTAATGTCACGTTGTTTATTGTCTGAATTTAGTGGGAGCTCACAGAGCTCTTAATATGCTTGCAAAACCCTTAGCAGTGCTCACAAGTGCTTCCTCCCTCTTGTAGCTAGTATGGCATGTGAAGAATACTCAGAGTGCTTCCTTCTTGGAGCTCACAGTACCTGAAGTTGAGTTGAGTTGAACTGAGCCAAGGCCAAGCCAAGTCATGACAAGGCCATCAGGACTCACCATGCTGAGCCAAAGTCGAACAGAGCAGGGTTAGCAAGTAGGGCAGCAGGGATGGCTGACCAGGTGTCTCCTTTCTCTTAAAGAGGCTGCAGAAAATAGTAGCTCATTGTCAAAATCATACTGTCACACAGACACATGCATGCTACATGCAATGGCATAAACCAGCAAAGCCATTATTATAAAATAAGCATGAAGTGCAGTACAATTAATAGTATAAGTTGTTTATTCTTTGGTCTTCAAACATGATAAGATAGGAAGTGAAAGAGCCTGATGAAACCATTCTGACTCCATTTGTTATACACCTCTACAGCTATTATATTCTGAAAACCTGTATACTTAATACCACCAAAGCTTGCTATTTAGCCTCTGAAAAGGTGACTCAAGATGCACCTGAGCCACCTTGTGCCACAACTGGGGCAAGTCAAGGGTTACTATGGGTGGCCCTGACCAGTGAATCTAAGAAAAGCAGCCTGAGCTTATCTGCTAAACTAAACTGCCTTTTAGAGCTCTGAGTACTTTTAGGAATGGAAAGGGAAACCCTAAACATCTTAAAACATGCCTTTGGGATCTTTCTTCCATTGTCTTGATGAACAGCACTTGTCTTCCTCCTATCCATACCAATCTCTTTAGAAAATGATCCCTTGGCCACATCCTTAGTATTCTCTTTCAAACACTTTTTCCCCCTTTTATTCATGATAAAGTATGTGTATGTAAGAGTGAAAATGAGGGAGAGAAATGAGCACCCTCTAAATAATCTGTTCGTTGTGATCTCACAAAAATTTCCTCCTACAATTTTCTCTAGAAACATTAGAGTTTTACTTTTATAGTCAGTTCTAGTTTTAGAAAATTTTTGTTCATGTGAAGGATGTTTACATTTTCTCTTAAAGATATTGTTTTCTGGCATGATTTATTGGGAATATTTCCCTTTTTATATTATGTTTAATATTCATATAGCCAACCATTTTCATTTCAACTGCATTTTTCTTTCTTTTGTTTGTAACTGATTGTAGCTTTGTATTTAAAGTACATTTTTTTCCTAGATGGCATATAGTTGATCTTGCTTTTTCAGCTAGTGTGACAATATTTGCATTTTAGTTGAAATATTTAATCTAATAATTAAAATTCTAAAATAGCATTTATAAAAATTTAATAATATAAAGTAAAATTTAAAATTTTCAAAAATATTAAATACTTGAAAGTAAATTTAATTGCATATGTATAAAATCTGTTTAATAAAAACCATAACCCATTGCTAAGAAAGAAATAGAAACACTAAAATAAATTGAAAAATATATTACAGCTCAACTAAAATGAGGTAGAATGTGTGTGTGTGTAGCAAACAATTCCAAAAAGAAAAAATTCTTTGGACCTCATATAAGCAATTTTTTCATTGTCTCATAGAGCAAGTAAGTGGAGGATTTAAAATGTTAACACAGGTTTGTCAGACTTCCCAGTCTGTATTATTTCTACTACATATTACCTTTCTGTATCCACTTCATATATGTAAATATTGTCTAATTTTCAAGAACTTCTGGCTTTCTGGCTTGTTGGGCTGAAAAAGAATGATGCATTGGTCATGTAACCTGGCTCAGAGGGTGTTAGCCTATGCATTGACCTTCATCTGATTCCTTCCTAATATCAAATACTCCTAACTAGGTAGGAATAACAGTTATCTCAAATCAACCTCAGTTATACCGTAAGTTTCTTATAGCAGTTTTCATCAGGATTCCAGGAAGCCTTTCTTGAATTGCTTATAAGGAAAGTAAGAATGACAACCTAGGTGACATGAGGACTTTAGAACCATGAGGTAAATTGTTACTTCACCATATTAGTTATATCTGTTACTCCCAATCTATTTCCACACAGAGCTTGTGTGAAGCCTTTTTTATGGGATGTTCTAGCAGAGTAGTTTAATGGATCCCAATGACAGCAAGAGCTGAGAAAATGGCCTCCTACTGTGAAGCTAGTATTAGAAGGAAATGATCTAAACAGTAGTACAATTGACAGCTTTAAGAAGGAAAAGAAAAAAAGCTTTAGAAAAAAGGAAGGTCTCATTGTTTTTTACCAAAGGTATAATAGCAGAGAGGGCAATTGTAGATATAGAGACAGTATAGGAGGGGTGAGTAATAAGAGGTGTGTAACAGGGGATGGGAGGGAGGAGATCGAGGAATAAACAAGCAAAACATTTAATAGACACAAAAATGATAGGTGCAGTATTCATGCTGGGAAATACCATGTTGTACACTGTAAAGACGTACAGTAATAAATGTAAGAAATATATAAATAATAAAGAAGGGGGTACCATATAAATCAAGATGAGACTGAAGAGACACTTTAGATTTGGGGAGCTTGTAGCTTTAGGAAAACTTTAGACTTACAAAACTGTGCTAGGCCTACAAATTCCTAAGCATAAATCCTAATTTTAAAGAACAGAGTGAAAGAAATGACCAAGTGGAGACTATTATCTCATTGTTTATAAAAATAAGGAGTATTTAGTTTTCATTTATTTATTTCACAAATACTATTTGACAACCTACTAGAAACTATCTTGGCAAGATACTGAGGGTAGAGAAATGCTTCAGACATGGTTTTCTGACCTATCTATAGGAATGTATTGTTTATGGACAGAAATACATAAGACATAAAGTACATAATGTATCACGTTATGCTACACCAAGCAGTGGTGAGACAACAAGCTCAAAATCTAAATAACTTTACTTGACGAGTTTTTCGTTTGTGCTCATGTGATGCCTGCTCTTGCTCTAAGGGCTTCCAGAAGGCAGATATCTTCCATATGTCAGTTTAATGTTACAGCTGCTTCAATCTTGTACAGATCTCACATCAACAGGTTATTTTAGGATTTTCATAGCAGAAGAAATAACTAGAGAGTAGGGCATCAAGATTAAGTATTCTAATAGGAAGTGGCATTTGTCCCTTTCATCATAATATCTTTATTGTCCAAGGAAGTTGTATGGCTATACTTAATTTCAGAGTTGGCTATACTTAATTTCAGGGTAGGAAAATGGATCTACCTGTGTACCTGTAAGTAGAGGAGAATGAGATATTAGTGAAAAGTGCTGCTCCTGGGAACCAGCAGTTAGCGTAATGGCTATGTCGCTGGACTCCCACGTAGTCGACCACGGTTCGTGTCCCGGACCCGGTGGCTTAAAACTCACGCTGGGCGCGTGTGCGTGCGTGTCCAAGATCCCTAGAGAAGAATGGAGGAGAAGGGCTTGTAGCATGACCATCCCCTCTGGGTGGTGATTTCTCGCTTTCTGTCTCTATGTCTCTCTCTGTCTGTCTGGCAAGCGCACGCGCCCTATAGCAAAAACCTTTCCAAAAAAAAAAAGAAAAAAAAGTGCTGCTCTTATAATGTACTATATGATTGAAATATTCCCAAAGAATCATGAGTCATTAGTCAGTTAGTACAAGGGTAAAGTGATTACTACTTACATTTTCCTCTAACTGTAGGATGGAATAGTACATTAAATCCTGACATATGTAGTAAAAGGGAAAGATGGAAAAATGAAAATAAGAGTATCTCTGTCTACTCTGAACTCCATACAAGAAAAATATGAACTTTTTAGCTATTTGTGCAAAGTCTTATGTGAAAAACAAAACAAATAGAGGATATGGTTTTGGCTGTTAAAGATCTTACAATGTAATGGGGGAAGTGAGGCAAACCTAAAGAAATGCAGTAAAAACTGATTAATCTGATAACCTATGAACTGGAAATTTTTATTACCCCTCTACATATATAGGACAATGATAATGATAATCTTGAGACACTTCAAAACCCTGAAGTGCTTTCAGAGTCATTAAAGGAAGATTAAATTATTTTCAGTGTAGTTTGTATTTTCAGTGTGAAGTTGTTATTGAATTTTAATATTGGAGAATTGGCCATTAATGTGTGTGTGTGTGTGTGTGTGTGTATGTGTGTGTGTGTTTACATATATATATACCCACACATACATGTGTGTGTATATATGTATGTGTGTGTGTGTATATAATATCTCTGATAATTCGAACCTGTGATGAACTAGAGTACAATATTCTCTTATCATTTATAAATAAAATTAAAGAAACATAAACATTTGCTTCCAGCAACATCTGCCCAGAATCGCTTATGCATATTGAGCAATCATGGTGATTTATAATGGGAGTAAGATGGAGGTGGGTTAAGTAGGAGCTTATATAAAATTTATCTGACGAGAATGAGAGAAATTGCAAAAGAGGCCAGAAGTGTTTTGATGCACAGGGATGTGAAGATAGGGGGAAACAACCCAGGAAAAGAAATAAGGTGATTTAGAGACAAACTAGAGAGCTTAACTACCTTACCTGTTTTTGCATAGCTAGAGAAGAATATACAATGAAAAATAGGAAGAGTAAGAAAGTTACAGTAATAGGTCATTTTAAAGCTAATTGTAAAAGTTTTTATTTGGACAAAGTACAAATTTAAGACCGTTCAGGTTCTCAAAAGGCAGGTGTGGGGACACAGTTCCTGGATTGGTTTATAAGGCAGGTTGGTTAAGGAGAAGCTGCTAATGTGGTTGGCAAACTATAGTCATAGATGACTGAGAACCCCCAGAACAGGAGAATCCTAAACAGAATCCTAAAGACTTCAGGGAAAGATCATAGACTGACTATTCCTTAGGTGTTTGTGGTACTCTTTCACTACGCCAGTGATCATATCCATTGAAATGATGTCACTTATCACCTACATATGCGTAATTCTTATGTGGAAATAGATCAAGTGCAAAATACAGTGGCAAAATGTGTACTTGGAGACTAACTGGAATGTCAGCTATACCAGTAGCTCTCTGTGTAACTTTTTTTTTTTTTTTTTTGCTATAAGGTATATATGTTTGCCAGAGAGAGACAGAGAGATGTTGGGAAAGTGAGAAATCAGCTCCTGGGGAGATGGCTAAACCACAATCCCTTCTTCTCCATTTTCCTCTAGGGATTT